CAGTGTTATACACACACAGTGTTATACACACACACAGTGTGTTATACACACACACAGTGTGTTATACACACACACAGTGTGTTATATACACACACAGTGTTATACACACACAGCTGTGTTATACACACACAGCTGTGTTATACACACACAGTGTTATACACACACAGCTGTGTTATACACACACAGTGTTACACACACACAGTGTTAGACACACACAGTGTTATACACACACAGTGTGTTATATACACACAGTGTGTTATACACACAGCTGTGTTATACACACACACACGTTTGTGCTTCTGCGATCACTACAGCACAGCTATCATCATCACACCCCCCTCCGCTTAGCACGCTTGGCTACGTACGGCGCGAAAGAAATGCAACATACACACATCACTACGTACACGCATCACTACGTACACACATCACTATGTGAGTGAGTGTGTAAGTGTGTGAGTGTGTGAGTGTGTAAGTGTGTGAGTGTGTAAGTGTGTGAGTGTGTAAGTGTGTGAGTGTGTAAGTGAGTGTGTAAGTGAGTGTGTGAGTGTGTAAGTGTGTGAGTGTGTAAGTGTGTAAGTGTGTGAGTGTGTGAGTGTGTAAGTGTGTGAGTGTGTGAGTGTGTAAGTGTGTGAGTGTGTAAGTGTGTGAGTGTGTGAGTGTGTAAGTGTGTGAGTGTGTAAGTGTGTGAGTGTGTAAGTGTGTAAGTGTGTGAGTGTGTGAGTGTGTAAGTGTGTGAGTGTGTAAGTGTGTGAGTGTGTAAGTGTGTGAGTGTGTAAGTGTGTGAGTGTGTGAGTGTGTGAGTGTGTAAGTGTGTGAGTGTGTATGTGAGTGAGTGTGTAAGTGTGTGAGTGTAGTGTGTGAGTGTGTGAGTGTGTAAGTGTGTAAGTGTGTGAGTGTGTGAGTGTGTAAGTGTGTGAGTGTGTGAGTGTGTGAGTGTGTAAGTGTGTGAGTGTGTAAGTGTGTGAGTGTGTAAGTGTGTGAGTGTGTGACAACCTACAAGAATCACGTGCCAGCCCGTCTAGTGTCAATCCAAAGCCTCCAGTCGGGGGGGGGGGTGTGTGTGGGGGGGGTTGATTGACCATACTTCACCAAAAATAGTCGGTGAAGGTAACGATCCGTGATCGGTTCGGAATATCACTCGCCGGGTTCGTAGCGCAGTGTTGTGAACCACTCCCCTAGGTCGACTCGGCCTTCAAACGAGTAACTGGTGCGGTGTGTAGTAAACAATCGGGCGTGGCGTTTGGCCAACCCCCACCCTCTCGTGGCCTTCATCGGTACTGCTGCTGCCCGCAAGTAGTCTGTGTCACAGAGGTCACGGGGGGTCACGGGGGGATCTTTCGTCTTCCTAACCTGCCTGACGCTGTGTGGGTGGGTGTGTAAGCGAAGTTCTCCCCTGTCACAGTGATGCCTTCTCTGCGCTTGTGAAACGTGGAAATCTCTCCTCCCCTCCCCCCCCACACACACACCGCTTCCCCTCTAAATGCGCAAATCTGAATCATCCTGCCTATTTAGTCTGTGGTGGCTATCCGGGGGGACCTTTGTCTTTGTGTGTAATAATAATACTAATACCTTGAGCCCATTGTTGATCCACTGCTTGTTTGACTATCCGTACTGCGGTGTGGGTTGTGGCAAAAGTGGGAGAGGGGGGGGGGGCATTAGGGAGTGATATTGGTAGGAACCGACTGGTTCCACCAGCCCACAGGGGATTATTGTTTCCGTCCGTCCGTCGTGCAGGGAGGGGCTGGGGGGGGGGTGGGAGGGGAGGGGCTGGGTGGGGAGGGGCTGAGTGGGGAGGGGCTGGGTGGGAACGGTAGGGCTGGGTGGGGAGAGTGGGGCTGGGTGGGGGGTGGGAGAGGTGGGGCTGGGTGGGAAGGGGCTTGTCACCCCGTGGTGCCCTTATAAAACTCAACGTTTAACCTACTCACGCCGGCTTGTGCCCGCCCTCACAGTCGGGCTTATTTGCGGAATCCACCACGCCCTGGCCGTTGACCCTGCAGGCCATTGACCGAGCAACCCAACGTTCCTACGAGCTCCCTCCGTAGCAGTAGGACAATGTGTTTGGGTTTGGTTCAAGCTCATCACTCGCCACCGACATTAGCCGTGTGACCAGGAATTGACCTCTGGGCTGGCGGGTTCATAGCGTAGCGTGCGAATCACTGCACCAACCCCGCTCCCTGGTATATCCGCAAGGGTTGTGTTTCAAGTTTGTGGGTTAGTAAGTTCGTGACTGTGTGTGTGTGTCAATGCACGTGTACACTCACGTACATTCCTAAGTGTGACTCTGATGTGAAGGGGGGGGGGGGGCGTCGTTAGTGCAGTGGTGAATAGCCGAACTGGTCTTGGGACTCCCCTAGATCAACTCAGCCTTAAATTCGTACCCAGTGTGGTGTGTGAACATCAGGCACCGGGGAGATAAAGGTGGCCGGTTCTGGCCACCCAACCCCCTTGTTTGCCGTGCCGGCCTCTAAAGGTGCCTGGTAACAGCACTTTCCCCAACAGTCTGTGTAGGCTATGCGGGAGATCTTTGTCTTTTGTGTGTGTGGGTGGGTATGTAATTGAGTGTGTGAATAAGTGTGTTAGGAAGTGTGCAAGTGAGTGTTTGTAAGTGTTCACGTGTTAGTAATTATGTTATTCGGCGAGTGTGTGTACGTGAGTGTGTGCGTGTTAGTAAATATGTGCGAGTGTACAAATTAGTGTTTAAGTGTGCAAGGGAGTGTGCACGTGGGTTATTAAATCGTGTATTCGTGTGCATTGGTGATTGTGCAATAAGTGAGTGTGCGCCTGTTATCACTTAAGTGTGTTCGTAAGTTTGTTAGTGGATGAGCGTTCGTAAAGTATGTAAGTGTGTAAAATAGTGCGGAAGTGAAGGAGCATGTAAGTGGGTGAGTGTGTAAGTGATGAGTGTGTAAGTGGGTGAGTATGTAAGTGGGTGAGTGTGTAAGTGGGTGAGTGGGTGAGTGTGTAAGTGGGTGAGTGAGTGTGTAAGTGGGTGAGTGAGTGTGTAAGCGGGTGAGTGTGTAAGTGACGAGTGTGTAAGTGGGTGAGTGTGTAAGCGGGCGAGTGAGTGTGTAAGTGTGTGTGTAAGTGTGTGAGTGTGTAAGTGTGTGAGTGTGTAAGTGAGTGTGTAAGTGAGTGTGTGAGTGTGTGTAAGTAAGTGTGTAAGTGAGTGTGTGAGTGTGTGTAAGTGTGTGAGTGTGTAAGTGTGTAAGTAAGGGTGTAAGTGTGTAAGTGAGTGTGTAAGTGTGTAAGGGTGTAAGTGTGTGAGTGTGTGTGTAAAGTGTGTGAGTGTGTAAGTGAGTGTGTAAGTGTGTAAGTAAGTGTGTGAGTGTGTAAGTGAGTGTGTGAGTGTGTAAGTAAGTGCGTGAGTGTGTAAGTGAGTGTGTAAGTGAGTGTGTAAGTGAGTGTGTAAGTAAGTGTGTGAGTGTGTAAGTAAGTGTGTGAGTGTGTAAGTAAGTGTGTAAGTGAGTGTGTAAGTGAGTGTGTAAGTAAGTGTGTGAGTGTGTAAGTGAGTGTGTAAGTGAGTGTGTAAGTGAGTGTGTGAGTGTGTAAGTGAGTGTGTAAGTAAGTGTGTAAGTAAGTGTGTAAGTGAGTGTGTGAGTGAGTGAGTGTGTAAGTGAGTGTGTGAGTGAGTGAGTGTGTAAGTGAGTGTGTAAGTGAGTGTGTAAGTAAGTGTGTGAGTGTGTAAGTAAGTGTGTAAGTGAGTGAGTGTGTAAGTGAGTGTGTAAGTAAGTGTGTAAGTGAGTGTGTGAGTGAGTGAGTAAGTAAGTGAGTGTGTAAGTGAGTGTGTAAGTAAGTGTGTGAGTGTGTAAGTGTGTAAGTGAGTGTGTAAGTGAGTGTGTAAGTAAGTGTGTGAGTTTGTAAGTGAGTGTGTAAGTGAGTGTGTAAGTAAGTGTGTGAGTGTGTGAGTGTGTAAGTAAGTGTGTAAGTGAGTAAGTGAGTGTGTAAGTGAGTGTGTAAGTAAGTAAGTGAGTGTGTAAGTGAGTGTGTGAGTGTGTAAGTGAGTGTGTAAGTAAGTGTGTGAGTGTGTAAGTGAGTGTGTGTAAGTGTGTGAGTGAGTGTGTAAGTGAGTGTGTGAGTGTGTAAGTGAGTGTGTAAGTAGTGTGTGAGTGTGTGAGTGTGTAAGTGAGTGTGTAAGTGAGTGTGTAAGTGAGTGTGTAAGTAAGTGTGTAAGTGAGTGTGTGAGTGAGTGAGTAAGTAAGTGAGTGAGTGTGTAAGTGAGTGTGTAAGTGAGTGTGTAAGTAAGTGTGTGAGTGTGTAAGTGTGTAAGTGAGTGTGTAAGTGAGTGTGTGAGTGTGTAAGTAAGTGTGTGAGTTTGTAAGTGAGTGTGTAAGTGAGTGTGTAAGTAAGTGTGTGAGTGTGTGAGTGTGTAAGTAAGTGTGTAAGTGAGTAAGTGAGTGTGTAAGTGAGTGTGTAAGTAAGTAAGTGAGTGTGTAAGTGAGTGTGTGAGTGTGTAAGTAAGTGTGTAAGTGAGTGTGTAAGTAAGTGTGTGAGTGTGTAAGTGAGTGTGTGTAAGTGTGTGAGTGAGTGTGTAAGTGAGTGTGTGAGTGTGTAAGTGAGTGTGTAAGTAAGTGTGTGAGTGTGTAAGTGAGTGTGTAAGTGAGTGTGTAAGTGAGTGTGTGAGTGTGTGTGTAAGTGTGTAAGTAAGTGTGTAAGTGAGTGTGTGAGTGTGTGTGTGAGTGTGTAAGTGAGTGTGTGTAAGTGTGTGAGTGAGTGTGTAAGTAAGTGTGTGAGTGTGTAAGTAAGTGTGTAAGTGAGTGTGTAAGTAAGTGTGTAAGTGAGTGTGTAAGTAAGTGTGTGAGTGTGTAAGTGTGTAAGTAAGTGTGTGAGTGTGTAAGTGAGTGTGTAAGTGAGTGTGTAAGTAAGTGTGTGAGTGTGTAAGTAAGTGTGTAAGTAAGTGAGTGTGTAAGTGAGTGTGTAAGTAAGTGTGTGAGTGTGTGAGTGTGTAAGTGAGTGTGTGAGTGTGTGTGTAAGTAAGTGTGTGAGTGTGTAAGTGAGTGTGTGAGTGTGTACGCCTGTGCGTGCCTCGCGCGGTGCGGCTCCGCGTGTTTTGCTCGCGGCTCCTCGGCAACCGCCGCCGTTGCTCCGTAAACACCAAGAGGCGCGCAGCAGCCGCCCTGGCAACAGGAACAGCAGCAGCAGCAACAGGAACAGCAGCAGCAGCAACAGTAGCGATAGCAGCAACAGAAACAGCAGCAGCAGCAACAGGAACAGCAGCAGCAACAGTAGCGATAGCAGCAACAGCAACAGCAGCAACAGAAACAGCAGCAGCAGCAACAACAGCAACAGAAACAGCAGCAGCAGCAACAGGAACAGCAGCAGCAGCAACAGTAGCGATAGCAGCAACAGAAACAGCAGCAACAGAAACAGCAGCAGCAGCAACAGGAACAGCAGCAGCAGCAACAGTAGCGATAGCAGCAACAGGAACAGCAGCAGCAGCAGCAACATAAACAGCAGCAGCAGCAACAGCAGCAGCAGCAACAGCAACAGAAACAGCAGCAGCAGCAACAGAAACAGCAGCAGCAGCAACAGTAGCGATAGCAGCAACAGAAACAGCAGCAGCAGAAACAGCAGCAGCAGCAACAGTAGCGATGGCAGCAACAGGAACAGCAGCAGCAGCAACAGAAACAGCAGCAGCAACAGCAGCAGCAGCAACAGAAACAGCAGCAGCAGCAATAGAAACAGCAGCAGCAGCAACAGTAGCGATAGCAGCAACAGGAACAGCAGCAGCAGAAACAGCAGCAGCAGCAACAGTAGCGATAGCAGCAACAGGAACAGCAGCAACAGAAACAGCAGCAGCAACAGTAGCGATAGCAGCAACAGGAACAGCAGCAGCAGCAACAGAAACAGCAGCAGCAGCAACAGTAGCGATAGCAGCAACAGGAACAGCAGCAGCAGCAACAGAAACAGCAGCAGCAGCAACACTAGCGATAGCAGCAACAGGAACAGCAGCAGCAGCAACAGAAACAGCAGCAGCAGCAACAGCAACAGTAGCGATAGCAGCAACAGCAGCAGCAGCAACAGTAGCGATAGCAGCAACAGGAACAGCAGCAGCAGCAACAGCAGCAGCAGCAACAGTAGCGACAGCAGCAACAGGAACAGCAGCAGCAGCAACAGAAACAGCAGCAGCAGCAACAGTAGCGATAGCAGCAACAGGAACAGCAGCAGCAGCAACAGAAACAGCAGCAGCAGCAACAGTAGCGATAGCAGCAACAGGAACAGCAGCAGCAGCAACAGAAACAGCAGCAGCAGCAACAGCAACAGTAGCGATAGCAGCAACAGCAGCAGCAGCAACAGTAGCGATAGCAGCAACAGGAACAGCAGCAGCAACAGCAGCAGCAGCAACAGTAGCGACAGCAGCAACAGGAACAGCAGCAACAGAAACAGAAACAGCAGCAGCAGCAACAGTAGCGATAGCAGCAACAGGAACAGCAGCAGCAGCAACAGAAACAGCAGCAGCAGCGATAGCAGCAACAGAAACAGCAGCAGCAACAGCAGCAGCAGCGATAGCAGCAACAGAAACAGCAGCAGCAGCAACAGGAACAGCAGCAGCGATAGCAGCAACAGAAAGAGCAGCAGCAACAGGAACAGCAGCAGCAGCAGTAGCGATAGCAGCAACAGAAACAGCAGCAGCAACAGAAACAGCAGCAGCAACAGCAGAAACAGCAGCAGCAACAGAAACAGCAGCAGCAACAGAAACAGCAGCAGCGATGGCAGCAACAGCAGAAGCAGCAGAAACACAACAGAGACATCAGAAGCAGCATCAGAAACACAACAGAGACATCAGAAGCAGCAACACAACAGAGGCAGCATTAGAAACACATCAGAAGCAGCATCAGAAACACAACAGAGACATCAGTTAATGTCCAGTAATTCATCAATGAATAGATACATCAATGAATACGTAGCGAGAACAGCAACATGAATGACCAAGGACTGCATCGTTGACAAACAGCGTCAGCATCTATGAATAGACGCACATTATAGTCGGCATTATAAACAGCATCAATTAAAAAAGGGCAGAGAAACCTGATCGCATCAGTGATCAAGGAGTACAGCGGCATCGATGGCTCGGGACAGTGTCGTGTAATAGGGGGCAGCTTTGATATGAATGCAGACGGCACCAATTAATCGAGATCCGTAATTTGAACAGAAACCCAAAAAATCAATTCAAAGAAGCGTGGGGGGGGGGGTTGTCGCACGCTCGGTCGGCATTGCACCGAGAGCCTCCGCGAGAGAGGAACGCGTGGGTCGGGGAACACGCGGGTCGGGGAACGCGCGGGTCGGGGAACGCGTGGGTTAGAGAACGCGCGGGTCGGGGAACGCGTGGGTTAGAGAACGCGCGGGTCGGGGAACGCGTGGGTTAAAGAACGCGCGGGTCGGGGAACGCGTGGGTTAGAGAACGCGCGGGTCGGGGAACGCGTGGGTCGGGGAACGCGCGGGTCGGGGAACGCGTGGGTTAGAGAACGCGTGGGTCGGGGAACGCGCGGGTCGGGGAACGCGCGGGTCGGGGAACGCGCGGGTCGGGGAACGCGCGGGTCGGGGAACGCGCGGGTCGGGGAACGCGCGGGTCGGGGAACGCGCGGGTCGGGGAACGCGCGGGTCGGGGAACGCGTGGGTTAGAGAACGCGTGGGTCGGGGAACGCGCGGGTCGGGGAACGCGCGGGTCGGGGAACGCGCAGGTCGGGGAACGCGCGGGTCGGGGAACACGCGGGTCGGGGAACGCGTGGGTTAGAGAACGCGCGGGTCGGGGAACGCGTGGGTCGGGGAACGCGCGGGTCGGGGAACGCGTGGGTTAGAGAACGCGTGGGTCTGGGAACGCGTGGGTCGGGGAACGCGCGGGTCGGGGAACGCGCGGGTCGGGGAACGCGCGGGTCGGGGAACGCGCGGGTCGGGGAACGCGCGGGTCGGGGAACGCGCGGGTCGGGGAACGCGCGGGTCGGGGAACGCGCGGGTCGGGGAACGCGCGGGTCGGGGAACGCGCGGGGCGGGGAACGCGCGGGTCGGAGAAACACATCAGAAGCAGCATCAGAAACACAACAGAGACATCAGAAGCAGCAGCAGAAACACATCAGAGGCATCAGCATTAGAAGACAACAGAGACATCAGAAGCAGCATCAGAAACACAACAGAGACATCAGTTAATGTCCAGTAATTCATCAATGAATAGATACATCAATGAATACGTAGCGAGAACAGGAACATGAATGACCAAGGACTGCATCGTTAACAAACAGCGTCAGCATCTATGAATAGACGCACATTATAGTCGACATTATAAACAGCATCAATTAAAAAAGGGCAGAGCAACCCGCTCGCATCAGTGATCAAGGAGTACAGCGGCATCGATGGCTCGGGACAGTGTCGTGTAATAGGGGGGCAGCTTTGATATGAATACAGACGGCACCAATTAATCGAGATACGTAATTTGAACAGAACCCCAAAAAATCAATTCTAAGAAGCATGGGGGGGGGGGGGTGTCGCACGCTCGGTCGGCATTGCACCGAGAGCCTCCGTGAGAGAGGAACGCGTGGGTCGGGGAACGCGTGGGTCGGGGAACGCGTGGGTCGGGAACGCGCGGGTCGGGAACGCGCGGGTCGGGGAACGCGCGGGTCGGGGAACGCGCGGGTCGGGGAACGCGCGGGTCGGGGAACGCGCGGGTCGGGGAACGCGCGGGTCGGGGAACGCGCGGGTCGGGGAACGCGCGGGTCGGGGAACGCGCGGGTCGGGGAACGCGCGGGTCGGGGAACGCGCGGGTCGGGGAACGCGCGGGTCGGGGAACGCGCGGGTCGGGGAACGCGCGGGTCGGGGAACGCGCGGGTCGGGGAACGCGCGGGTCGGGAAACGCGCGGGTCGGGGAACGCGCGGGTCGGGGAACACATTGATTAGGGAACACGTGCACCTGGGTGGCGGCATCTGGCTTGGGCTGACCGCGTCACGTCTCGAATGGGACGATGGTCAAGAGCAATCACGGAACGGCAGCCAAGGGATGGAATGCGGTCCCAGAGGAGCGTCCACCGGCAGGATGGAGCGATGGAATCAGTTCCGTGTGGATTGCTAACAGTGCAGGGACGTGAGAGATCAGTATCAGAAAAGCAATGATTTATCCTGGAGGAATCCGAAGAGCTATAACGCTCTTGTTCACATATGCCGAGTAGGGGGCGTGTCGGAACGCTACAACAGCAAACAATACAGAATCACGACAGGAGTTGAACGTTTAGGAAATGTTCGCAAATCAGCAGCGGAAAGGCGACCGTTGCCGCTGATGATGATGATGAAGAATTGAATAGGGACCACATTCAATAGGCACCGTTCACAGCATTACTGACCAATGAACACAGCAACAACAAAGTTGACAGCATCAGCAGCACCATCAGTGAATAGGGGCAACATCGGTAACATGGATGAATAGGGGCAACATCGGCGAGGTAATCGATTAACACATTCCTCCTGCGGAGGGAGCTGGTAGGAACGTTGGGTTGCTCGGTCAATGGCCTGCAGGGTCAACGGCGGCGTGGTGTATTCCGCAAATATGGCCGACTGTGAGGGCGGGCACAAGCCGGCGTGAGTAGGTGAAACGTTGAGTTTTATAAGGGCACCACGGGGTGACCAGCACCTCCCCACCCAGCCCCACCCCTCCCATTTTTGGTTGCACGACGGACGGACACAATAATCCCCTGTGGGCTGGTGTAACCAGGTGGTTCCTACCAGTAATAGAATTAATACAAAGTAACGTCGTCAATGAATGGGGGCAACATGGAATGGCACAGCCGTAGTGAATCAGCATGGGGCCGTATGATTGAATGAATGCGATCCCGTGAGCAAAATCGTCAATGGCTTGCGACGACACCATCACCGGCGAAATACGCAAGCAGCGTTTCAATAGGGGGACGTTCATCGTCGGTTACGGCACCAGCGAATCGAGAAAGTTCCAGTTCGATAATATCAACGAATGGCATTGACTTGGCGCCCACAATTCGGCCCGGTCGCAATTCGTCGTTCGGGAGAGGAGGGGGGGGCTGGGGGATTTGGCTTTTTTTCGGCGGTGTCCGAGGGCTGCCCGTGGGCGAACATCGCCCCCTCGTGCGCGCCTCTTGTCACGGCATTTTCGGAATGTAGTTCTACAAGGTCCACTTCTGCGACGGCGTTGCCGAGCGCGTTGGGGGGTCGGGATGTTAAGCCTCGCTGCTCTGCTGATAAGAATTCCGAAGGGATTCTGGGTAACCCAACCATTGGGCGTATCGAGATCTCGCCCGCCCGCCCGCACACCCATCCACCTTCCCTGTTTGCGCCCTCGTGGTGTGCCGCTGGACTGGGGAGCTTAGTGATGTAATGGCCATCAGCAGCTGCGTAATTCTTGGCCACGGCTTGTCGAGATATGGTGGGGGGGGGGGGGGTTGTACGTGTCAGGAGACAAAATATTGGGGGGGGGGGGGCTGCCGTTTTTAAAGAGGGGGGGGGGGATTGATAAAAAATGTGATTCGTATTGTTTGGATCTTTCGGTAAAGTCACATAGATAGGTTCAAATTAATAAAAATAAAATAAACCAAAAACTTACTTTTTAACACATTCCTCCTGCGGAGGGAGCTGGTTGGGTTGCTCGGTCAATGGCCTGCAGGGTCAACAGCGGCGTGGTGTATTCCGCAAATATGCCCGACTGTGAGGGCGGGCACAAGCCGGCGTGAGTAGGTTAAACGTTTAGTTTTATGAGGGCACCACGGGGTCACCAGCCCCTCCCCACCCAGCCCCACCCCTCCCAACCCCCACCCAGCCCCTCACCTCCCCACCCAGCCCCACCCTCCCCACCCAGCCCCTCCCCGCCCTCTCCTCCCCACCCAGCCCCTCCCTGCACGACGGACAGACGGACACAATAATCCCCTGTGGGCTGGTGTAACCAGGAGGTTCCTACCAGTGTTAATTTGAACCTATCTACGTGACTTTACTGAAAGACGAAACAAATATCATTTCCTGCAGTCACGAAAGCTTTAAGTCACGATTCAATGCATTTCGTCTATTATTTAACTTGAGCCGGTCCTGGGCCCCCCTTTAGGTCGGCTCAGCCTTAAATGCAGTCCCTGGTGCAGTGTGTAAACATTGCCTTTGGGGAGACTAAGTCGGTCGGGCGTGGTGTTGACCACCACCTCGTGTGCGCCGTGTTGGCGTCCACAGGTCGGTGCGACAGTACTCGCAAACAGCCCTTGCCCTCACAGTCTGTGCAGGCTATATGGGGGGGGGGGGCAATCTTTGTCGTTGTGTTACAAGATCCAAAGCCTGACAATCGTAGTGCTGCTGGTGCAATGTGTACAACAGTAACATTGCGGGAGACAAAGGCGGCCGGGCGTAGCGCTGGCCGCCCTCGCTCAGAGCGCTTGCTCCTCCGACAGTCTGTTGAAGGCAATGTGTGTGTGTGGGGGGGGGGGTCTCTATTTGTGTTGTGCCACGCTAGGTACACGAAGGGCGTGGACATGTGGAACCTGGGCTGCATCCTCGGGGAGATGCTCACGGGGAAGCCGCTCTTCCCCGGGGAGTCAACCATCAACCAACTTGAGCGGATCATGGCCGTGGTGCCGCCACCTTCACGGGACGGTACGCGGCGGGACATAGTGAAGATGCACGTGGAGGCGAGCGCGGGGACACACAGAGAGAGACGGAGAGAAAAGGGGGGCACAGGGACAGATGGGGGGGCACAGGGACAGATGCGGGGGGCACAGGGGCAGACACGGGGAGACACACATGGAGAGACGGGGAGACACACATAGAGAGACGGGGAGACAACAGGGACAGACACGGAGAGACACACATAGAGAGACGGGGAGACAACAGGGGCAGACACGGGGAGACACACATGGAGAGACGGGGAGACACACATAGAGAGACGGGGAGACAAGGAGACAGACACGCGGAGACACACATGGAGAGATGGGGAGACACACATAGAGAGACGGGGAGACAAGGAGACAGACACGCGGAGACACACATAGAGAGACGGGGAGACAACGGGGACAGACACGCGGAGACACACATGGAGAGACGGGGAGACACACATAGAGAGACGGGGAGACAAGGAGACAGACACGGGGAGACACACATGGAGAGACGGGGAGACAACGGGGACAGACACGCGGAGACACACATGGAGAGACGGGGAGACAAGGAGACAGACACGCGGAGACACACATAGAGAGACGGGGAGACACACATAGAGAGACGGGGAGACAACGGGGGACACACAGGGAGGCACATGAAGAGGTGGAGAGACACTGGGAGAGACGCGGGGGGGGGGGGGGGGGGCAGGATATTGTGAGACAGTGATATGGGGAGACACGGTGAGACGCGGTGATGCTCAGTGATGTGAGATGTCCCGTGCCGTGTTCCACAGAACTCATGGCGATCAGCTCGGACTACGGCCGTTCAATGGTAGAAAGACTCATGGCTCAGTGAGTATGCATACACACGTCCATAGGCACACACACACACATCCCCCGTGTAGCCTTTAACAAACCGTTGGGGCAAGTGCTGTTAGCGGGCATCTCTTAAGGCTTAGTCGCCCTAGGGGAGACCCAGGACCGGTTCGGACAATTATCGTCACAGGTGTTGGTCGCTGACGAATATCTGTGAACGGAGAACAAAATAAATTTACCGAGTGCCCAGGAGCTGCATCGGACGTGGCGCCGTGCCCTGACCATGCCCAAGCCCACGGTGCCAGCCCCTTGCCCCGCTAGTACCGCGTCTCCAACGTTGATCTCCACCGCCACCACCACCACCACCATCACCACCGCCAACCACCGCCGCCACCACCGCCACCCCCGCCGCCACCGCCGCCACCACCGCCACCACCACCACCGCCACCACCACCGCCACCACCACCGCCGCCACCACCACCGCCGCCGCCACCGCCGCCACCACCACCACCACCGCCGCCGCCGCCACCGCCGCCACCACCACCACCGCCACCCCCGCCGCCACCACCACCACCACCACCACCACCGCCGCCACCGCCACCATCGCCACCACCGCCACCCCCGCCGCCACCACCACCACCACCGCCACCACCGCCGCCACCACCACCACCACCGCCAACACCGCCGCCGCCGCCGCCGCCACCGCCACCACCGCTGTCACCACCGTCACCGCCACCACCACCACCGCCACCACCGCCACCACCGCCGCCACCACCGCCACCACCGCCACCGCCACCACCGCCACCACCGCCACCACCGCCACCGCCTCCACCGCCGTCACCGCCGTCACCGCCACCACCACCGCCACCACCGCCACCACCGCCACCACCGCCGCCACCACCGCCACCACCGTCACCGCCACCGCCACCACCGCCACCACCGCCACCACCGCCGCCACCACCGCCACCACCGCCACCGCCGCCGCCGCCACCACCGCCACCACCGCCGCCACCGCCACCACCACCGCCACCACCGCCGCCACCGCCGCCACCACCGCCGCCACCGCCACCACCGTCACCACCGCCACCACCACCACCGCCGTCACCGCCACCACCACCGCCACCACCGCCGCCACCGCCGCCACCGCCGCCACCGCCACCACCGTCACCGCCGCCACCGCCACCACCGCCACCGCCACCACCACCACCGCCACTGCCACCACCGCCACCACCGTCACCGCCACCGCCGCCCCAGCCCCAACTCCCGCATGCTTGCGGTCATCTCCCTCTCCCAGCAGGAAGCGGCGCTCGCTGGGGGAGCTGGCGAGGGGGGCGCCCCCCGAGGCACTGGACCTGCTGTCGCGTCTCCTCGTCTTCAACCCCGAGCGGAGGCTCACGGCGGCCGAGGCGCTCGCCCACCCCTACGTGTGCCGGTAACGGGGACCGTGCGGAGTGGGTGGTCGTGTTGGGGGTTTGGGGGGGGGACAGTGCCCACCCCTACGTGTGCCGCAGAGGTCGTAACCGGGTACCCGATACCCAGCTACCCGTACCCGGTCGGGTACGGGTAGCCGTTTGCGACCCTGGTGCGGCCGGGTACGGGTAGGCCATGAGTCGCCGGTGAGTCACCGTTTGTCACTCATTTCGGGTAGGGTACGGGTACGGGTAGCATACGGGTACCCGTACCCGGCCGGGTACGGGTACCCGTTTGCGACCCTGGTGCGGCCGGGTACGGGTACGGGTAAGGAATCAAAACCCGTTTGCGACCTCTGGTGTGCCGGTAACGGGGACCGTGCGGAGTGGGTGGTCGTGTTGTTGGGGGGGGGGGGGGGGCAGCCACTCTGTTAGCAGGGCGAGGGGGAAATCTCTCCGGTCAGCGTGCGGCCAATGCGGTGGTCACCACCTTGAACAGAACGAGGGGAGCACAGGACGTGGAGTCGGTGGCACGATTCGTAAATACGTACAATTCTGGCATGTTGCAAGCATGTTGCATGTATGGCATTGGCATGTTGCTGGTATGACACCGGCATGTTGGGAGCGTGTTGCTCGTGTGTATGTGTGCTATGTATGTGCTAATCGGAGGTGCTCGTGTGTTGCTGGTGCATTGTTGTGTTTGCTGGGATGACAATTGGCACGCTGCTGCTGCTGCTGCGTCGCTCACTTAACCCTCTTGTGCTGCTGCCTCTCCCAACGCCCCGCCCCCCAACCCCTCCTCCCCCCGCCCCCCAACCCCTCCTCCCCCCGCTCCCCACTGCCCCCCCCCCGCCCCCCACTGCCCCCCCCACCTCGCCCCCCACTCCAGGTTCCACGACCCCCCCACGGAGCCGTCCCTCAATTACGACGTGGTTCCTCCCGTGGACGACAACACGCAGCTCGCCGTCAACGATTACCGAAGCCACCTGTACGAGGTGAGCCAGCTGTGTGTGTGTGTGTGCGTGTGTGTGCGTGTGTGTGCGCGTGTGTGTGTGTGTGTATGCGTGTGTGTGCGTGTTTGCGTGTGTGTGCGTGCGTGTGTGTGTGTGCGTGTTTGCGTGCGTGTGTGTGCGTGCGTGTGTGTGTGCGTGCGTGTGTGTGTGTGCGTGTTTGCGTGTGTGCGCGTGCGTGTGCGTGTGTGTGTGTGCGTGCGTGTGTGTGTGTGTGCGTGCGTGCGTGTTTGCGTGTGTGCGCGTGCGTGTGCGCGTGCGTGTGCGTGCGTGTGTGTGTGTGCGCGCGTGCGTGCGTGTGTGTGCGTGCGTGCGTGTGTGCGTGCGTGTGTGTGTGTGCGCGCGTGTGTGCGTGTGTGTGCGTGTGTGTGTGCGTGTGTGCGTGTGTGTGTGTGCGCGTGTGTGCGCGTGCGTGCGTGTGCGTGCGTGCGCGTGTACGTGCGTGCGTGCGGAGCGGTAGCGCAGTGGTTAGCACACTGCCAACCCGAGTTCGATTCCCGCTCGTGACCAAAAACAGTGGCGACTATTTGAACCGGTCCGAGGCCTGGTAGACTCGCCAACGGCACTTGTCCCGACAGTCTACACAGGCTATGTGGGAGACCTTTATAATTGTGTGTGTGCGTGTGTGCGACTGCCTCCCCCCACAGCTGATCCTGGAGAGGAAGGGCAGCATCAAGCAGCGCCGCCGGGGCGACGCACGGGACGGCAAGGACCCGCTGCAGTCGCTGTGCAGCGACCCCATTGAGGTGACCTGCCCCTCGTCCACCGCGGAGCTCCACAGGGAGTCCCCCCACGGGTCGCCTGCCGCCTCCTCCACCAAGATGCTCAAGGCAGGCGGCGGCGGCCAGGGCAGCCCCGTCGCCCCGCACAGCGACCCCTCCCAGAAGCCCCTGCGGCACGGTGAGCAAAACAAAACAAAAATGGAACGTGTACATTGTGAGGAAGGCCCAATCGCAATTGAATAGTAGCACAGGCCCCGCAAACCGTCCGTTTCAAACGACGAGATGCTGAAACGTTGGCCTTGGCCCTGTCGTGTGGATGTGGGGACTCCACGTCAGAGGTCGCAACCGGGTACCCGATACCCGTACCCTACCCGATACCCGGCTACCCGTACCCGGCCGGCTAACCGTACCCGGCCGGGTACGGGTAGCCGTTTACGACCCTGGTGCGGCCGGGTACGGGTACGGGTAGACCGTGAGTCACTGGTGAGTCACCGTTTGTCACTCATTTCCCAACGTCTTGTCTCTTCTCGCAATTCAAGTTCCTAGAATCAACCCACCCGCGCCTGCAACATGGCTTCATCCCAGAGGTCGCAATCAGGTACCCGATACCCGTACCCTACCCGTACCCGGCCGGGTACGGGTAGGGTACGGGTACCCGTTTGCGACCCTTGTGCGGACGGGTACAGGTACGGGTAAGGAATCAAAACCCGTTTGCGACCTCTGATAGTAGCACAGGCCCCCGCAAACCGTCAGTGTCAAACGAGGAGATGATGAAATGTTGGCCTTGGCCCTGTCGTGTGGATGTGGGGACTCCACGTGGATGGTTGGTGACAATACCGTGCTGATGAGTTCTAAGTAGGGCGACAATGGTCTATCGCAGTTTGTCAATCGCTGCATCACTTCTGCTGCTGCTGCTGCTGCGGTCGGTCGATCACATTTGGTCACCGATTATTTTGGAGGTGACCTAAGATGAGAGGAACCACAATGCAGTTCTGCAGGAATTGCTGATGGTTTTGTTGCACAATGCACAAATGAGCATGTGGGCTTTTTACACGTTTTTTTGAATGTTGTTTGAAATTTAGCGAGAGCATATCAGTGGTGTTTTTGTTTTTTAAACACAGTTGAAAAAGTTACATTTTGAGTTTTTCTGAAATTTTAGCTTTTTTGCCGGCATCACATTTAACCTGATTTCCTTTAATTTCTCAGTGTTGTTGTTCTTGTACAGATATATTAATATAGTAAGATCGTTGTAACCCGTCTTACCTTTTATTTGATCTTATTGTAAAGTCTTGAGATATGGTTGCTTTTCGATGGTATAAATGTAACTTGTATTGTATAGTTGTCTGTTGTTGTTGACCCTTTGTACAAGTTTGAGTCCTGGATGGGGGTTGCGGCCTTTGTTGTCATTGTTGATATCATCATCGTCATTATCTTTGTCATCATCATCAGCAGCAGCAGCAGTGCTGTCATCATCGTCGTAATTATTGTAATCATCAATATCATAATCATCATCACGACCATCGTCAGCCATACTCAACATAAGGTGTGTAAACATTGCCACTTGGGGACAAAGTTGGCCGGGCGTGGTGCTGACCACCCACTCCTTCATGCGCTGTACGTATGTACGTTGAACGTCTTTCGCACACTATGTAGCCAACCGTGATCATGGAACTTGCTGTTAGCCAGCACACGCAAGGTGCTGGCTAACAGCACTTGCCCCAACAGTCTGTTAAAGGCTATACGGGGGATCTTTGTCTCTGTGTTGCATGAGCAGGTCCAGATGCGCTGAGCTGCGTGCAGTTGAACCAGCAGCTCCCTGTGACCTCCGACCCCTCAGTCCGGCCGCCCCTCACCCGCTCGCTGGAGGTCAGCTTCTTATCTTTGCCTGTGTTAGCGGCGTGCCGTCTAGACACCCTGCAGTGTTCACCGCACGGCAATCACACGGAGCTGAAAACAAACACCATGAAGTGAAAAATATAACTTAACGTATGTACTTAGACTTTTTCCCATGCGAGGTCGGGTGTATTGCAGTCCATCTGAAGCTTGCAAGTGAAAAGCAGACCGTGATATATCCCTTACCCGACACAGCGTTGTACATCGGGTGCACCGCAATCGATTGGCAGGTCGCGTTTGGTGGGGTAAAGTGTGGATATCTCGCACTTGTTCTAAAATCCGTTTTTGTTTTTCACTTCCACAGCGATCCCATCCTCTGTCAGGAATTGTGGCCGTGTCAGCTTGAGACCCGATTGTGCTGCTACTCATTGGCTCTTCCCGCAGTCGGACTGGATTTTACCTCGACTGTGGAATTATTATAATTGATCGTTATTAATAATAATAATTATTATTGACTATTGTCTTCGATTGTAGTTTGTCCTTCAAATCGATCCACAGTGCGAGTGTGGCGTATTAATAACTATAATGATTAATAATCAATAATTAGTATTGACTATTGTCTTCGATCATAGTTTGCAAGTGCATTCCCATCGTGTTGTATGCACACTCGTGAAAGCAGTCTCTTTTACATTTTTAAATCCTTTATATTAAGTTCGCTTGCTTGCTTGCTTGCGCGCTTACGACCGTGCAAATCTTTCGGTCGTTTTTTAACCCACTTCCCGTGATCCAATCGAGCTGACATTTTGCACACAGACTCGTTGTGCGTGACAATGTATTTTCGTGAAAAAAATGTTCCAAAATTTGACACCTTTTAGGAAGTTTATTTATTTAATTACCAATTGCTTAATGGTAGCAGACAATCATCTGACTCATAGGTGGCAGCCATCTCAAGCCAGAGGACGAGAGGACTCTAGCCGCCCGTTTCAAAGACCAATGTTGGCTGGGTTGTGGCCCATTGAACACGCATATAAAGGATTTATAGTGAAAAACTTTGTTTTTACGGGTTAATTTTTCATCATCTCGTAGTAGTGGGCTCCGAGATGTTTTCACGTGAAAATAAAGATGGTGATTAGAATTATTATGATTATGCAATAACGGTTCTAGGGAACTGAAACTGAACCCGTGCGTGACCTTCGCAGGCGAGGGCCATGAGCGCTTTCGCCCCGGCGTTTGCCAAGGCGTCGTCGCTGTCATCAACGACGGAGGAAGACGACGAATATTTGGAGGAGCTGGACGACGAAGAGGAGGACGGCGACGATGACGACGACGACGACGACGAGGAAGAGGTGGTGGTGGTGACGAGGGAGCCGTCGGACGCCGTGAGGGCTTTGTCCGGGCGCCGGGGGGAGAATCGCGGGGCGAGTACGGCGCTTCAGGCGCGTGAGCGCTCACCCACGCAGCACTCTTAGTGGAGGGGTGGAGGCGACGCGGACACACGCACGTACACACGTACACACGCGCACACGCGCACACACTGCCACGCTTAGCCACACACAAACTCAAGCCGCTTGCTCGCTCACTCAGCGATGAGCTCGCTCATTCACCTGCCCTCTCGCTTACTAACTCACATGTACACTTGCTCGCTCGCTCGCTCACTCACACAGGCACTCGCTCCCTAATTCACCCACCCACTCACTGGCTCTCTCATATAGCCACTTGCTCAGCCACTCATACACTCGCTCCCTCCTTCACCTACCCACTCATTCACTCGCTCAATCACCCACCCACCCACATGTCTACCCACTCAATCACAGGACCACTTCCTCAGCCACTCTCTTACTTAGGTACCCGTCCACTGATCCACTATCTCATTCCTTCACTTAATCCCTCACGTAACTACTCACCCTCGTAATCTCCCTGTCATTCGCTCACCCATGCAATCGCACACTTACCCACTCACTCACGCACATGCACTTTCGCTCACTCACTCGCTGACCTGACCAACTCACTTATCCACTCTGTCACTAGCCTAAAACACCCACACCCTCACACTCACAGACCCAATCACCCTCACACTCACAGACACAATCACCCTCACCCTCATAGACCCCATCACACTTACACTCACAGACCCAATCACACTCACAGACCCAATCACACTCACAGACCCAATCACCCTCACACTCACAGACCCCATCACACTCACAGACACAATGACACTCACAGACCCAATCACACTCACACTCACAGACCCCATCACACTCACAGACACAATCACACTCACAGACACACTCACACTCACAGACCCAATCACCCTCAGACTCACAGACCCAATCACACTCACAGACCCCATCACACTCACAGACCCAATCACACTCACAGACCCCATCACACTCACACTCACAGACCCAATCACACTCACAGACCCCATCACACTCACAGACCCAATCACACTCACAGACCCAATCACACTCACAGACACACTCACACTCACAGACCCAATCACACTCACAGACCCAATCACAATCACACTCACAGACCCAATCACACTCACAGACCCAATCACACTCACAGACCCAATCACACTCACAGACCCAATCACACTCACAGACCCAATCACACTCACAGACACACTCACACTCACAGACCCAATCACACTCACAGACCCAATCACACTCACAGACACAATCACAATCACAGACCCAATCACACTCACAGACACAATCACACTCACAGACCCAATCACACTCACAGACACAATCACACTCACAGACCCAATCACACTCACAGACCCAATCGCACTCACAGACACACTCACAGACACACTCACACTCACAGACCCACTCACAGACCCAATCACACTCACAGACACACTCACAGACACACTCACAGACCCAATCGCCCACGCTCGCTCGTCTCGCTCCGCTCAACCACTCCAGTAATTGTTTAAATTATTTCCCACTGTTATCATTATCGTTATTGTATAAACTCTAAAACTAGCCAAAGCACTTATTATAATTATTATTTTTATTATTATTATTTTTCCAAAAATTGCGACCCAAGTAAAATTGTCTTGGATGTTTTTTTTATTTCCTGTCACGTTAAAAAGATCGTTACATTTTGTTATTTAAAACAAACTATATATATATATTCTGTGTATATACATATACAATTGAAATAACTTGGTTTTCATGTTTTCTGGGCGAAGCGAAGCCTTCTGCCCACCACGCGCACTAAATCGCGACCCCTTCTGCGGAGGGGGCTCAGATTTCATCGTCGTCGTCGTCGCAAAAATTCTCATCGTCGTTGCCATCGTCAGTTAACGACGATTAACGACGCAGACGACTTTCACCGCTGCATTATCCCTGCCAAAGTTGTGGACGAAGAGTGGTGGTGGTGCTGGTGGTGGCGGCTGCGGTGCAGCGACCGTGTCGCCGCTATGAACCCGCTGACCCATAGTCCCGACTTGCCTGTCGCTTGGCTATCGGTGGCCGCTGGCAACGTGAACCACTCCTGGGCCTTCCCTCCCCCGCAGCCCCCCCCCCTCCCCCCCCTCCCCCCCACAACTCACTTTGCAGCGTGGTGAAGTATGGTCAAACAACCCCCAGTGATGACCACCAGTGAACGGGGAAGCCTTCGTCCAGCAGTGGAGCGATAAATGGAATGCGAATTATAGTTTTCAAAACATTGACACATTCATCAATAACACTGCGTGTGTGGCCTTGAGAAGACAAACATGTGTATGTATAAATAGGCGACGTTTTAGGCAATGGCCTTTGGCAGCAGATAGAGAGGCCAGAGAGGTCGGAGGGTTACGGGTAACTCGACATTGTTGGCCGGTGTGCAGAGAAGGGTCGTTAACTGAAACATCACCTTTTTTTTCTTCTTGGTTCTTTCGGTAAAGCCACGTAGAATGGACAGACTGTTCTCCACCTGAGGACGGCTGCTTGTGTTGTGGCCGAAACGTCGTGAGAATTGTATTTTATTATGTTTTATTTTTATAATTTTATTATTTCCATTCTACGTGACTTTACCGAAAGAACCAAGAAGATGAATCCCTGCAGTCACGAAAGCTTTAAATCGAAATATAAGAACCAAAGTGTATGGATTCCTGCGGTCACGAAAGCTTAGAATCAAGACGAAACTTTATTTAGAAAATTTTGAAATTTCGGGACAGCCCCCCAATCCACGTTGCCCCCCCCCGGAAAGGATTATCGATCCACCACCCAGCATTGTCGCCATCAATGAACAAATGGCAAAGATCCCCCGTATAGCCTGTTACAGACTGTTGGGGCAAGTGCTGTTAGCGAGCACCTATGAAGGCCGGCGCGGCACACGAGGGGGTGGATGGCCAGCACCACGCCCGGCCGCCTTTGTCTCCCCAGTGGCGATGTTTACATATGGCAGCAGGTACTCATTTGAGGCTGAGTCGACCTAGGGGAGGCCCAGGACCGGTTCACACGCACACTGCCTGGTTGGCTTACCACGTGGATCAGTACTGTACGTACCACTGCCTGGGTTACCATGGTGATGCGTTGGTTACCATGGTGATGCGTTGGTCACCGTGGTGATGCGTTCGTTACCATGGCGATGCGTTGGTTACCATGGCGATGCGTTGGTTATCGTGGTGATGCGTTGGTTACCACGGCGATGCGTTGGTCACCGTGGTGATGCGTTGGTTACCGTGGCGATGCGTTGGTTACCGTGGTGATGCGTTGGTTACCGTGGCGATGCGTTGGTTACCGTGGTGATGCGTTGGTTACCATGGCGATGCGTTGGTTACCGTGGCGATGCGTTGGTCACCGTGGTGATGCGTTGCTTACCACGGCGATGCGTTGGTCACCGTGGTGATGCGTTGGTTAACGTGGCCATGCGTTGGTTACCATGATGATGCGTTGGTTACCGTGGTGATGCGTTGGTTACCATGGCGATGCGTTGGTTACCATGGTGATGCGTTCGTTACCATGATGATGCGTTGGTTACCATGCTGATGCGTTGGTTAACAGCCGTGTTGAATGGTTACGTTTTTGGCAGATTGACTGTACAGGATTCCGAGGCAAAGCGAGCCAGATAAGAAGAAGATTTCGCTGTCGAGTTGAAGACGTGGGATGATAACTCTTGACGCGCGCACGAGTTGCCGAACAAACGCCTTGCGTATGAACACCACACACGGACGATGATTGTTCGTGAGAGTTTGAGTTTGACTGCTGTATCGTGTTTGTAGCCTTGACGCTACGACACTCGGATGTGATGACCGCTAGGCCCAAACACAAGCACTGACTCCTCCAACAACTCTCTAGCACTGCCCACAACCACTAGCCATGGCTAGAGCACTTGCCTTGACACTCTCTAACTGACAGCGGGTCGGGAACCTATGGCTCGCGAGCCATATATGGCTCTTCCGGTGACGGCATATGGGCTCCCAGACAATTTTGAGTTGAAAAAAAATAAGAATTTTTTTTTAAAATAAAATCAGTTTGGAACTGATTTAAAAAAAACTTGTAATATTGTTTAATAATACTGTGTCATTTTAAAGTAAACAGAAATTAGTTTTGGAGATAAATTTCACGGGTCACAGGTCCCGTGACCAGAAGTCACATTAAAAGTAAGACATATTTAATTTATTATACGTTAAAAATACTATATGGCTCTCAATGAAATAAAAAAGGTTCCCGACCCCTGCTCTAATACACTGACACCAGGCGTGACACTAACCGAGGCTCTACAAACGAGCTCGAACCCCAACACGAGCACTTAGCACTGCCACTAGCCCTGACACACTAACACTAGCCTCAAACACCCTTAACACCATGCCTAACAACCAGCCCGAACACATGTAGTCTAGTACTAACACTAGCCCCAACACCAGCACTAGCACATGTAGTCTAGTACTAACACTAGCCCCAACACCAGCACTAACACATGTAGTCTAGTACTAACACTAGCCACAACACCAGCACTAACACGTGTAGTCTAGTACTAACACTAGCCCCAACACCAGCACTAGCACATGTAGTCTAGTACTAACACTAGCCCCAACACCAGCACTAACACGTGTAGTCTAGTACTAACACTAGCCCCAACACCAGCACTAACACATGTAGTCTAGTACTAACACTAGCCCCAACACCAGCACTAACACATGTAGTCTAGTACTAACACTAGCCCCAACACCAGCACTAACACGTGTAGTCTAGTACTAACACTAGCCCCAACACCAGCACTAACACATGTAGTCTAGTACTAACACTAGCCCCAACACCAGCACTAACACGTGTAGTCTAGTACTAACACTAGCCCCAACACCAGCACTAACACATGTAGTCTAGTACTAACACTAGCCACAACACCAGCACTAGCACATGTAGTCTAGTACTAACACTAGCTCCAACACCAGCACTAGCACATGTAGTCTAGTACTAACACTAGCCCCAACACCAGCACTAACACATGTAGTCTAGTACTAACACTAGCTCCAACACCAGCACTAGCACATGTAGTCTAGTACTAACACTAGCCCCAACACCAGCACTAACACATGTAGTCTAGTACTAACACTAGCTCCAACACCAGCACTAACACGTGTAGTCGAGTACTAACACTAGCCCCAACACCAGCACTAACACATGTAGTCTAGTACTAACACTAGCCCCAACACCAGCACTAGCACATGTAGTCTAGTACTAACACTAGCTCCAACACCAGCACTAGCACATGTAGTCTAGTACTAACACTAGCCCCAACACCAGCACTAGCACATGTAGTCTAGTACTAACACTAGCCCCAACACCAGCACTAACACATGTAGTCTAGTACTAACACTAGCCACAACACCAGCACTAGCACATGTAGTCTAGTACTAACACTAGCCCCAACACCAGCACTAACACGTGTAGTCTAGTACTAACACTAGCCACAACACCAGCACTAGCACATGTAGTCTAGTACTAACACTAGCCCCAACACCAGCACTAACACGTGTAGTCTAGTACTAACACTAGCCCCAACACCAGCACTAGCACATGTAGTCTAGTACTAACACTAGCCCCAACACCAGCACTAACACGTGTAGTCTAGTACTAACACTAGCCCCAACACCAGCACTAGCACATGTAGTCTAGTACTAACACTAGCCCCAACACCAGCACTAGCACATGTAGTCTAGTACTAACACTAGCCCCAACACCAGCACTAACACATGTAGTCTAGTACTAACACTAGCCCCAACACCAGCACTAGCACATGTAGTCTAGTACTAACACTAGCCCCAACACCAGCACTAACACATGTAGTCTAGTACTATCACTAGCCCCAACACCAGCACTAACACGTGTAGTCTAGTATTAACACTAGCCCCAACACC